TGAAAATCTTTTTTAAAAAAGTAAGTTTATATATATATATATATATATATATATATATATATAATGCAAAAATAATGTATTAGCAAATGTGATATATAATTTATACTGAATAGAATAGTAAATGTAGTAAAAATAAATTGTTAACGAACAAATATTTTTTTTATTTTCATTTGTGAAAGATTTAGATATATACTTCCAGAATGTCAATTTTAGTGGTATGCATGTTGGAACTGTACCAGAAAATATATTTCAAGTTTTAAATTATTTGATTAGGGAAAAAAATTAATAATTTAAATTCTTAATATAGCTACATTAATATCTAAGCATAAAATACGGTTTATTTATTTATATTTTTTTTGTGCATTTTTATTAACTTGTCATTTTTTCTCTCTATATATATATATGTATACAAGTTCATCTGTCACAAAAAATTAAAAAAAAGGCACACGTTTATAGATGTTTTGAATTCAGAAGTCGAAGGGTTGTTAATGTTTATGTTTCCCTTGCAAAATATATTATAATTTTTAAAAAAATATTTCTTTTTTTTAATATTTACATTTTATAAATGTAATCTTTTCACTTGACTTAAAAAAAAATATCGTGAAAGTTCTATATAATAAGTAATATCACATTATAAAATGAGAAATTCATGTATTAATGGTAGAATATTTTATTTTTCCTTCTGTAATTTAAGGTATTTTTTAAAGCGAAATAAACGATTTTGTTAAAAATGGCAGATTTAATTATGAATTAGTTATAATTACTGATTTGTATCAATTGTATTCTCTACTGAAATAAATTAGAAATAAATGTTTCCGGTTTTCAAAACATTCTTATTAGAGAAATTTATTGTATTATCTGTGTAATTATTTTACACAGATAATACAATAAATTACTCTTGATAGTTTGAAATAATCTTTAAAAACCACCGGTTTATTTTTTCTTCTCATAAAATGCATTTTCTTATGCAAATTCTCGCATTTATTACTCATATTTAAATGAAAAAGACTGTTTACATGATAAGAGTTATATAATTGCAATATAGGCGAAAATGAAGAAAACATTAGTATTTTATTATGAACTAACAGCAACTTTCACTTGAAAAATCTTACATACTGAAATTACATTTAACTAGGGAAAAGACGCGTACAACGAAGTCCACCCTTATAATTCCTATCTGACCTTACATGTTTTGGCACAATTTTGGTAGAAGCACTCGAATTTTCTTTACAAATTCTTTAAGTATTTGTTGTAATTCATTGAATTCAAACTTTACTCGTTTATTCCATAAGATTATTTAACTTAATTTATTTATTCCCATGCTGTTTTCTTCCAGAAAATAATTCTTTTTTTTTTTTTTAATGAACTTCCTCGTCGCAGGCGTGAGTTTTAGAATTTATAAAACATTATAGCTTATACATCTTAAAAATTTATGGCAGCACCGCATATAATTCCTAGCTCATAGATGGCAGCACAGCACAAATAAAATATTTATTTCTACAGCTTATGACATTTCAAGATACTCAATATCAAAAGTTTATGTGGCGCCACCTTTGATGTCGCTATGAAGTTTCAATAAACTGATATCGAATATCATGTGTATTCCGTATTGCTTTTAAACAGTCGTTAATTAGTTCTGAAATATGCGACAAAAGGCTACAAGTCGTGAGCAAAATTTTTAGAATTTTTGCAACTGCTTTTGTTTTAATTCTATGTCTGTTGAATTTTCGCTATTATCAATTTTTGAGACAGATCCGGAGTTTTCATTTAGCCAAATAGCTTAATACAGATACGCGAATAACACACAGCCTGTTCAGTATAATCCGTATCTGGCGATGTAACATGATATAGAGTATACAGTATAGCAGACAAAAGTTAAGTTCGAAATGCTTAATATTTCATACTTTGCCTTGGCATTCTCTACCTACGCTACCAAATGGCCAAAATATGAAATGCGTCATTTGATTCGTTCTAAATATCATCCAAAAAGAAGTGAGTTCTAATCCGTTCATTATGCCCTGAATTATCGTCTTTTTCATTTTGAGCTTTGCTTGGAAGCTTCAAAAGCGGCGAATTTACTTCAATTTGTTCAACCAAAAAATATATTTATAATTAGATTAATTAACCTTGAAACAATATCCGGACTATATTACTAATAAAAAATTGATCTCAACTACAAGAATTTAACTGTAGTAAAAAGAAAAACTTACCAAATTAAATCTTACTAAATTAAAAAATCACAAGGGCCCTTGCCTCAGCGCTGCTGTTTTAGATGTTCAATTTCACGTAGCAATTTTTTCTCGCTCCGCAAAAACTATAAAGTTTAGAAACTTAATATTACTATAGAGTGTAGAAAAATATACAACGAATTTGATGAAATAAAAAAAATATTACGATTCAATTATTTGTTCCAGAATTATCAACTGTTAAACTTTTCCACTTGGAATAAAAAAATGTTGGACGATTTACCGCTTTCTGAAATGCAACTACAGAGGTGAAATTCGACACGCCTGAAAGGGACATTTTCGATTACAAATCAACCAAGAGTTTTTTTTTTTTTTTTTTTTGTTGGAAAAAGAGTTAAATAACTNAAAATATTAATGTCAAAGCAGAGATAAAAGTAGTTCGCAATTTGAACTGTTATAAATTATGAGATTATTGTTACAGATTGTTAACAAGTAAAATTAAACCTCATTTGTTACTTCTTATTGTGTCACACATTCGATATTCTTAAGTTCAAATTTTTTTAGTATAGTTTACTATTTTTCCAAATCCAATTAATCATTCATTTTGTTGCATCTTAACAAAATGTTGCTAGTCAATTTATAACAGTGGTTACCAACTGGATGCCCGCAAACTAAAATATATTAGTAGTCGTTTTTTTAGAACAATTTTCGTAAAAAATCTATATGGGTTTAAAATACTTCTCTTTCGCTTTTAGAAACCTAATTTCTTCGTTTCTCTGAAATTTGAGATACCAACAGTGCAAAAAAATTTCTTTCTCAGGTTTTGCATCCAAGAAAATATTTATTCAAATACAAAAATAATCGTGTATGTTGTTCTTTTTTATTTCGATTTTTTGTTCTTTGTGTATATAATTTAGCATTTGCGTATCAGAGAAACCACTCATTTTGGACGAAATTATTTACATTTGTAAATTTTAAAACGCATAAAAGAGGGAAGGAATATTATGTTTTATTTAAATTCCTTGAATTGAACATCGCATGAGCGGAAAAGAAGAAAAAATTAATTTCAGATGCTCGAGAGTTTTTTTGTCGCTATAATTCCTAAAAAGTCGAAAAAATGTTAGTTTATAACAGAATTAAATTTAAAAGAAAAAAAATCTTGTCACTAAGTTTCTGATTAGGAGAAGATTCAAAATGATGCGTAACAAGCATTATTTGTAATGCTTGTTATTTTGAATTTTAATATTAAGAAAACTTTGATAAAAATCTGCGGTAATATTTAATGTTCCTTCAAACATAAGAGTCCTATATAAAATTTTGATAAAGTTGTGGCCCGCCATTTGACTGGTGTTTTTAATTGCGGCCTCGGCCACACGTAAGTTGGGAGACCATGATTTATAACAAATAAATACCTGTGATCGTCAATGCTAAAAGAACGTTTAAAACAAATAAGTGTCTGCTAATGATAATCGACACGATGACATGGAATTCTCTTTAGCTCTGCAAAATTGCAGCACAGTTTACAGCGTGGTCGATGTCCCTTTGTACTGAATGTTTTAAATCATCGTACAAAAGAAGTTTTCAAAGTGCTAAATCTCAAGTGAAAAAAATCAATTTGAAAAATGTATCGATTTTAAAAAAATTGAGAGGAAGAAAACAACATTTTAATAATAAATTCCCACAGCTAATTTTTTTTTAAAAAAAAATTACATTCAAGATGGAAAAAATATGATGTTTAATTTAACTGGTATAAAATGACACTCTCAATAAACACTGAATAAAGACTTTATTTTCTTTTATAGTTAATATAGAGACATTTACATAAACTCATTTACATTGAAAAAGTATGGCATATTTTATATTATGTGGATTAACAAATACGTCATAACAAGCACATGAATTAAATGAATGCAATTTAAAATATATACAATTAACATGTATAATTTGTTTTTTTCTAATACAAATATCAGTTTGTTTCAATATTATTTCCTTAAACATTTAATGCAAGTTCAGAGCCATATTTAAAGTAAACAAAAATTTGCTGATAAAATTGCGTAGTGAATATCAAGTGTTTTCTATTATTGCATATCGCATTTCTAACAATTTGGGTTTAGGTAATATCAGAAAGGGATCATAATTAATAGTAGGATAAATTATGATCCCTTTCTATTTATCATTCTAATAAGAATTTCATCTTAAAAATATATGCATTTTTTTCTGCATATAAATATAGGGAAACGTATTTATATTGTCAACTTTAATTCGATGTTATATCAAAGTGTTCTCTCTCTTTTGTTAGAACATTTTATTAAAAATATTTTATATTTCATTCTTCAGAATAAAACGAACAATTTTTTTAATATTTTTTCCATTCCACAAATAGTTGAAAATAAAAGTCTGAAGTATATTCAGTCTGTCACTGGGTTATGAAGTCTCTCAACATAAATCATTTAGGTATAATTAGAAGTACATTCTGCAAGTCCTTTCAAGTCCAGCAAGAAAAGTGCACAAGAACATTTCTTGCGCAATTTATAAATATAAAAACTTGCTTTTTTTCAATAAGTTGTATTTACTTTTTAATATTTTATGAAAATGAATACCTAAGTGTACAAAAATTAAAAAAAAACTATTTTCTTAATTAATCCGCCAAGACCTGTAATATTACAACTAAGTTCATATAATTTCGTATGCACTGAAAAAGTAATTTATTTATTTGATTTTTATTAAAATAAAGTTTTAAATTTGATTTTGTAGTAAACAAGCTCTCTTAAAATAAAACATATATATATTGATTATTTACATACATTTATAAAAATACCTGTCTTACTTAGTTATACATAAATATTTAAATAAAAAATAAGAATTTAAAATTTTATGGTAAAAACTAGTTCTTTTTCTCAATTTATTTTTCTCTTTTCTTCAATAAAATCTTGTTTCCCTAAAAGCTCATTTTATAAAACTTCAAATACGAATCTTTGCTAATTTTTTAGTGAAATTCGGTTTAAAATAGTAATATTACAATGCTTTAATTTAAACAGTTAATGCTAAATTTATTTGTTTCATAAAGATATTACTATTTACAAAATTTTAGGACAAATGCTAATTTTAAGTTTATCCTTAAACTATCCTCTTTTAAGTAGTATATGTATATATATGTTTAAGAAATCAAAATTATATATAATTTGTACTATAAATAATAAATTAGCCTTTAACTACAATTTAAATTATTTTAAGTTTGGTGGGCTATAAAGAATTTTTAAATATTTTACAAATTTGAAATTAATAAATCTAATGAAAACTCTTACCATTATAACATGCTGGGGCTGTTAAAATGTATCTCCATTCTCAATATTTCTAAATAAGTTCTCATTTTCATAAATGTTAAACGAAAATTTGGTGTAAATTTAACAAATACGCCATTATTAAATATTTTTACCCTGATTTTAAGAAATTTTATAGTAATGAAAGCGGTGGGCATTATGAAGCATCTGCACAATTTCATGATAAATAATTAAATTGGAATAGTGGTCAAACTAACAACTTGGTTTTAATTTTTAGTCTATATATTTCTTCTTCGTGTTAAGTAAGTATTCACAGAATAAAAAAACTCGATAACATGAAATAACAAAGTAACAAGACGAAACAAAAATCACAGTACAATAGATCAAACAAGCCCGTCAGGCTGGTTTTTTTTTTTAAAAAATTTGTAAAAAAAATTTTACACAAAATTTAAACCTGACAAACAGCTCTTGGGTCTTTTAATAGTAACTTAAGCAACACTAACAAAAAAAAACTTAACAGTGTATAGGTTCTCATACCAGTTAATTGCTTAGATAACAAGGAAATCTGGAAAAATTTAGCAAATTTACCTCAATTTCCTGGCTACCTATAACGTTTGATAAAACTTCAACGAAACAAAGGATTATTTGAAAATACTTTTCCCTGAAAAAAGGTTTTATGTAAAATTTCTCCTAAACACCGCAAAATCGTTCCTTGTAAGGTTGTTTTTTTTTAAAAAAAAGTTTCATTAAATTCAAGAACGATTCTAGTTGAAAATTAATTATTGATAGAATAACTAATGACATCATTTTACAATCAAAATATAAGACTACAATAAGAAAAAAACAATTTTTCAATCAATATTACAACTTATCTCCAACACATTAAAAAATACAGTCTTAACATCATCAAAAAACAGCAAAAAGCTCCACACCACAACAAAATAAGCTTCAAAGACAAGCCGTAGAAATCAGAAAAAATTCAAGTTCATTTCTCGTAATTTCTTGCAGCAGTTTCGGCCTTAAGTCTTAAAGAACAATTAGTATATTATATAAGTCTCACTTATATAAATATATTCTCAGATTTTTAATCTTAGTCTGTGGCACTAGAACTTACACTTTGTTTTCAAATTTCAAACTTCTTATTCTTCTTTTGTGGCACTAGAACTTGACATACTTGGTTGGCCAGTTCTGAGTTTTCTTGCGCTAACAACTGATCGAGAAGCTGATTTGCGATCATAAGCTAATCCAAGACACGCCATGGCATCGATGAATGCAGTAGTTACATTATATTTAATGCCATATTCGCTGGTAGCGTAATCATATGGGAAAGTATGGTGGTAATTGTGGAAACCTTCACCAACTGCGCCAAGGACTACAAGAGGATTTTCCCTGGGGTTGATGTTGACATCGAAAGGTCGAGTGCCCCACATGTGAGCGGCACTGTTCACAAGCCAAGTTTGGTTAAGAGTGAAACATAATCGAAATATTGTGGCCACGAAGAGAGCGTTTTTAAATGTTTCACCCCAGAAATACATTGGAACGATTGTAGGCAAGATGAAGCAGCACAAAAGAACTAGTTTCAAGTAGTACCTAAAGCAACAAGTGATAAAAAATTAGATTTTAACGAAATGTTTTCACTACATTTTTCAAAAATAAATACGTATCGCCAAGAAAAGCAGGTTTAATCGTTGTGCTAGATAATAATTAAATAGAAAACGGCTTATAGAGAAAAGTTGTTTAATTCTTCTTTTTTTTCAAATCATATCATATCCGTAGCCTTGTAACTTTGAACCCAATCCAGCCGACAAGCGAACTCCTGCATAAAGTATTGGGAGAAATTTGCCTTTGTGGAGGACTTTTTGATGAAACTAACCCACATTTGCGTTAAGGAAAACCACGAAATCCTCCCATGGTTAGTCTGACGGCAAGGAGACTCTAACCCATGATCCGTTTACCATGCAGAATATTTTACATCAGCACTGGGGTCGGTACGAGCCGGGTGCAGAATTCGTATCAACCAACCATCGCTGGGATTCAGGGGCTCTACGACATTAGTAGTCATAAACCCAAAATTGGATTGGTTGTTCAACGACTATCATAAAATATAAAATCATATCACCTTTGATTGATTTAGGGTGCAGGTAGAGCGAACTAGCAAACGGTTTCTTAATTCGTACCACTTACAGAAATTACAATTTTCCGCGTTACAATAAATTTTTAGCACTTACTGCACAAATATTATTACAGAAAAAAAATTCTAAATAGTCGATGTTCTGTACTTTAATATTAAAATATTTCAAATGTGATCTCTGTGATTTGTGACTGGTTGAAATTTAAATGTTAAAAGTGGTATGATTTAGTCAACCTTCCTGTATTAGCACGAATAAAATATTTAAAAGAGACAGACAATTTTTTCGGAATTATAACAAGAGTTGCCGGTATTTTTTTTTTAATTCTTGGTGCTTTATAAGTTGGTTTTTACTTTAAAAACAAGACTCTCAATAAAATTCTATTTTTGAAAAAATAAGAGTCTACGATGTATTTAATTTATAATTTTAAAACTACAATTCATTGAAAGACATGGTTTTATGAGTGTTTTTTTTCCTTGCTTGTTTTGTTTTTTACATAAAACAGAACCGTTCATAAAAATTCTGCACAGACCATTGGTTTTTGTGACTTTTTGAAAAATCATAAAGCGGAACAATATCTTCACAAATTCGCAAAAGTACGAGAAAATTTTTTACAATTTCACGAAAGCGGACCTTTCACAAAAAATTCAGAGTAACCTTGTACACGAACATGCAGTTATAGTTATACCTTCAGAAATTTACCCATAGACTGCTATATGAAAATTCGCGAAGATTTTTCTCACATGTGCCAAAATTTTCACGGTTCTTTATTTTAAAGAAAACTTACTTTACTTTAAAGAAAAATATGTAAAGTTAAAAAAAAAAAATTCTGTGCCTGACCAAAACTCAATGAAAGCTACATACTTCCTGTGGAATCGGACAATGGGGTCAGCCATAAGATCGCTGAGATCGATGTTTTTTCCTTTCTTGATAACCTCTGGATGTTTTCTGCAAAGCAGCCATCCTACGTGGGCGAAGAAAAATCCTCTTGTCGCGTTATGTGGATCAGCATCTGTTTCAGAGTATTTGTGATGAACTCTGTGATCACGGGCCCATTCATAAATGTCATTCTGCGAAAACAATTACAAAAATTTAAATTCCGTTTCATTTTAAGCACAAATACTACGAAATAAATATACTACGCCGCCGAGTCATCATTAATGGTTGTTTATGGCTTTACTGTAATCTAGAAGATGTCAACGTTTATAATTTTGTGCAACATCAATAAAACTTGACAGGAATTATTAGTTATTGCATTAACTATTTTAATAAGTTGCACAGCTCAGCAATATTTTTTTATCGTGTCCATGGACAATTAAATGGCCTCGTTTGCCTTCAAAACTGCATCCGCAAGCTCCAATACATCATTTCTCCAGTGGCACCATACCCAGTTGTAAAACATATGGGGTAAGGGCTGGGCTCTCGAGAATGTGATCTGGAGTAAGTTGGATATCGGTACAGTTCTTGCAGGGAATATAAGCAATATTTAATTGAGTTTATTTAACATTTCTGTGGTGAAAAGCTTAAACATTAGTTTGGCAGCTTAAAAAAAGTATTTATTTAAACCTTTACTCCAACCTTTACTCTCAAGTTTACGCAATTTCTTCCCTCTCCACACTTTTACCCTCTCCTTAATTACGGATTCGACAAATTTTCTTTTTTCCCCATTGGAAGTATATTCCAACTTCTTGCTGAGTCAAACTGTTGAAGGACAAACCAAGATTTGTCGAAACCATGGTAACGGAGAGGAGAAAAGTATGATGAGTAGGGAAATCAAGTAACCTTATAATGCCTAATTAAATTTTATGAACAAAATTGAGCCAAAAGTGTAAAAACCTGCACTGCGTAAAAGCAATTGATCTGCAACATTCGTCGCCATTTTCATAATCAAGAATTACGCCTTTATAATTTCAATATTTTAAGTTGTGTTTCTGTGAGCGTGAATGTAGTATTTTCGTGGTAGAAATTATATTTAATGAGAGGATTAAACTGCTGCTGTACCAAAAAATTTCTAAAATCACGTATCAATGAAATCTAGTTCAAAAACAAGAGGTCATATTCAAGAATTACGATTTCAACAGTTTCATCGTATCAATTATATACTTGCAAACTATTTTTGCATTATATATGATGCGAATCAGATGTAACACAAAAATAAATTGAAGGGGCACATTAAATAAAAAAAATATGAAAAATAAATAAAAGAAAAAAATTGATACAGAAACAGCCTGATGGCAAAGAAAGAAAATTAATTTTACTCACCTCAAATGCAATGGTATAAATAAAGGCTAAGAATACTCTAAGGGGAAATCTTGCTTTGTAAGATCGATGAGCCCATAGTCTGTGTGCACCCGCAGTCACACCAACGCCAGAGAATAAGTAGAGAATAAACGCTGAAAAGTAATAGATATTCATTAACTCATGAAATCGGTTAGAGAATAATTGATTTGTAAGACATTGAAAAGCATAAAAAAATTCTTAATAAGTCCAGTGGTCAAACAAGAAGGCGTTGCTACCCCCCCCCCTCATGATTACTTGGCAAACGTTTATCTTCCGTGAAGATATGCTGATAATTTTCTATTTGACGCGATTGTTTTTTTTTTACTCCAAAAAACAGTTTTTTCTTTACTTTTTTTTCTTTAATAAGTTTTGGGAAGATTTTCGTATGGGTCTAATCTATTAACCTATAATTATTAATTTATTAATCTATAATTAATAAATTTATCTATTTACACTTTAATATTTCAGTTGTTTTTTCCGCTGTACCAATTTAAAAAATTTCATTAAAAAAATCTATGTTTAATAAAAATCAATGTTCCGAGTATATAATTAAGCCGATTTTTGATAATGTAACATATCTCAAACTAATTATAAGCTTGAAATAGTCATATCTATTAAATTTCTCAAATACTGTTTCTCACTCAAAAATCCTATTAATCTAATATGTTTGCTAATTTCAAATGTAAGTATAAGATATTAGACACAAAGAAAACAAATATTTCAATTTTAAATTTTTACCTAACAAATTAACCTTCCCTATGTGATTATACGATAGAAGCTGTAAACAAAACTATAGGCAGAAGAGCTTAAATAAAAAACAAGTTAATTTTATTTTTACGGCAAACAAATTAACAGATGTGAACATATGATAGAAACTATAAACAAAACTAAAGTCGCACGCATTTAAATAAAAAAAAATGCCAATTTTAAATGTTTGCCTAACAAATTAACATGGCATGTGTGATCATAAGATAGAAACTATAAATAAAACCTATATGCATAAGCACTTAAATAGAAACGATATCAATTTCAAATTCGCAGCTAACAAATTAACACATATGAACATACGATAGAGATTATAAACAAAACTACAGACATAAACACTTAAAAATAAAACAAAGTTATCAATTTTAAATTCTTGAATAATAATTTAACAGATATGAACATACGATAGAAACGATAAACAATATTAAAACTTAAATAAAAATATATCAATTTTAAATTTTAGCCTAACAGATTAACATTGCATATGTGATCATAAGATAGAAACTATAAACAAAGCTATAGGCAGAAATACTTAAATAAAAACATTATCAATTTTTAATTCGCAGCAAATAAATTAACAGTTGTTAACGTACGATAGAAACTATAAATAAAACTACATACATAAACACAAAAATTAAAAAAAAAGAAGAAAAAAATTTCTATCGTATGTTCAAAACGAATTAACAGATGTGAACATACGATACAAGCTATAAACTGCATTAAACCTTAATAATAAAGACAAAAAATTTCTAATTTTTGCGAAACAAAGTAACATTGGAAATGTGAACATTAGATGGAAACTATAAAGAATTAAATAAAAAAAGATATAAAATTTAAAATATTAAAAGATATAAAACTTAAAATCTTACCAAATAAATTTGTTTGCCACATTGCAGATGTGAACATGAGATAGAAACCATAAACAGCTGCCATATGCAGGTATGCAAAGAGAATGACATTACGCCATACTATCTGAGTGGGTACTGGCTTCTGTGCTTCAATAACATCCACTTTGTCACAATCATCTCTTACATCAGTTTCGTGGTTTGAAAATGCAGGAGAAACTTCGGTTTCTAATTTATCTCCAGCAATAACAGACTGAGGTTCAGTCTGGGTGGTAGTAACGGTGGTACACGATAGAGGAGGCATTGTCACGAGTTTGAGGATTGTATAAATTACCTAAAATATAAAATTGCATAACATTAGTTGATATTGAAACTTTGACATTACTATTTAAATATTCAAAACAATTATTATTATCAGGTCTCCAAGTGAAGAACAAAATACAAAAGGAGAATATTCATTTTTTTTGTTTTTTACCGTCATAGCTTGCAAGGCACTTGAGTTATCTTTTGAAAATGTCGAAAATGATTTAACTTAAAAATTGTGAAAATCGTCAAAATAATTACTTCAGCTTATTTTAAGACTTGTTTCGTTGTATGAAGTTAAGCTATGAATCTGGCAATTATACTTTCCCATTACCTGCGGCTACCAAGATGAAACTCTTGAACTTCTCAAAATTTGAAGAAATTGAACCAATTTATGTCAATCAACTTATCTTACATCAGTGACATAAAGAGTTTAAGTAGGCAGAGAAAAAAATCGAACCTAGCTCCATATCTTTTGAGCATAATTCAATAATACGTAAAAAATGTGTTACTCCTATGCAAAATTGTTCAAGCATTCTGTTTCGGTTTCCAATAATGTTTCATTGGTAACGAATCACAATGCTTTGAAATATGTGTGCACTTAATTGATCTTTCCATTTTATCAAAATTAACTTTGAAGATGTCATTTAATTTCGAGGAATGCTTAGGATGAAGATTTGAATAAATCCTCCCTGTCAAGTAATGCTGCTAGTAATTAAAAATAATTGATAGCTATATGATTGGAGACAGTAACATAAGTTCTCTTATGGGAAAGAAGGTAGAACTAACATTAAACAAGATAAATCTCGAACACTTTGAATAACTTTCGATCGCGTCTTTATGCAATACAGAAAGTTTTTAATTTAATAGTGTAGGTTGAACTCTACTTTTTTAAATAAAAATTAATTAGCAGTGATAACCATTAACATACTCTCTCCTAAGGTGCGGCGACACCGGGCAACCAGAATTCAGTTAAAATTACCAATTCATTCAAGTTGATTAAATTTTTAAAATTGGAACAATTTGTAATATTTAACATTTTTTGAGTTTTACATTAAGAATTTAATTATAATTTTAGTTATATTCTTAAATATTACATGCAGATAAATTTGTAATATTTCATAATGTTATGTGTAATTGAAATTAGTGATTTGATATTGTTTCATATTATGCTCTTCTATTATAGAAAACCTATCAATGGCCAAAGGGTGCCCAAATTGGCGAACATTCTGGGCAGATCTCAAAATTCATTAGAATTCACCAGTTCATTCAAATCAATAAAATTTTAAAATTTAAACAAATTGTAGCATTTTACATTAAACAAACATTTAATATCATATTTTAATCTTTAATTCTGCTTTCAATGTTACATGCGTAAGATTGAAATGTGTTACATCTATAATTCGTATTCTTTCGTAAACTCAATGTTATTCATAGCAAGAAATTACGAATATTAACATTTGTTTTGTTTCTTTCATCAGGGTTGGTAAAACCCTAAGCACGACCTTGAAAATACCAAAAGTAACTTTCATTATAAAATATCTAAAGAAACAAAAATAAAAGCGAACTTAAAATGTCGCATCAAACATATTTTTTTTAAAAAGAGAAAAACTGTCAAGTTCCCATTTTAGAAATAAAGCTTTACAAATTGTGTTAAAATATTATATAATTTCATCGTGTTAACTAAAAGTCTCAGTCAGTTAAAGTAAACAGAATCTGGAGTACTAAGGAAGGTCGAGACTACGGAATCCTTTTTCAATCAATACAACGGCACGTGTAAGGAGTAATTTCTATGACAGTGACAGCTAAACAAAGGAACGCTTTTAAGAAAGATGTCCAAACTCTCATAAATATTAGCACTTATTTTGAATTGAATATCAAAATTAAATCAAGGAAACAAAAGGAAAACAGATCTAAAATGGTAGTTTATTATTTTTTTCTGGAACAATTGCGACCTTTGGCTGCGTAAATAGAATATCCTTTTCAAGGTTTCAATTTTTTTTGCAATACATATTAATAACACGAAACTTCATTATTTTAGTGATTATTATTCCTTATTATGGAGATGAATTATTTGTTAATTATTGTTAGAAAATATCATATTAACGTGCAAACAATATAATATCATAAAACGAGTCATATTTAACGAGCCAACAAAATTTTCTATAATATAATATAATGTAATTTAATAATATATATATATATATATATATATAATACAGTCATGTTATAAAAGTCAACGATATTACCATATTTAATAGAATAATTTTCAACTATCTCCTTAATAATATTAAACGAAATCAAATCTTTTTTTAAATATTAATGAATTTGAATTTCTCTTAACCAGAATTTGATTGATGAATTACAATCCGGTATTTAGGTTCTGATTCTGATTTGAAAAACTATTGTATGCGTATAACATATTAATTTATTAACAAAACGTTCGTTGACATGTAGATGATACAAAATTATGTTTTTTAACTTAACAATAATAAAGAAAATAATTCTCAAATTAGCTATTAAAGAGTAAACGAGAAAAAAATTCTGAACATTTCATCACTTTAAAATGGATTTTTTTAATAGAATTTGATTAATGGATAAAACTCTGATGTTAAATTCCGATTTGAAAGGCACAATCAGAATTCCTGTATGTTTGTATATTACTTAGCAATGGCGTTTAAGATATTTAAAATAAAAATAATATATTTTGAATTTAACTAAATCTATTTTAATGTGCCAAAAAGTGCTACGTAGTAAAAAACTCTAACATAAATTATTAGTTTAGCAACAGAACTTATTTTATAAATTTAAGATATGAAATAAGACAAAATTGAAGTTATAAAAAAAGTAATTTTAAAAAGGAATTAAATTTTTTGAAATGGACATATTTAATCTTGGAAAATTGAAAAAGTGATAAATCACGAATAGTAACGACAGCATTTATTTATTTATTTTTTCAAAAATAAATAATTACTGGATTTATCAACATTGAACTTTATGTGGTAGTGACGTTTGCTATCGGCTTTAACTAGGGTTATGTTACTTTCCAACAATGACAATTCTAAACTCACCAGCAAAGTGACAAATATAAAGAGGGAAATACATCAAAACAAAACTTACTTAAACGAAATTAATTTATATCCTGTTTGTTACATTTCCTGAATCTTAATTAAATATTTCAAGACATCCAGCAAGATTAATTTTCCATAAGGGAGGTACACAAAGAGACTATTATATCACCATCCGTTGTGACGTCACTGGATTAACTACAGGTGTTACTAGGAGATGTGAAATTTCCGCACAAGTTAACTCGCTTAACATACGCACATAGAAGTCCACGTTTTTATGACACGATGACGCTAAGACTTTAAAGACAGACAACTTTATTTAAGGTAGAGTTGAAATCATTAACTTCACGATTATAGATTTTTGATCAAAGAACTGTTTAAGGATCGTTCAAGAATTATACAGCTGCTGACATTTCAGTTCATAGTTTATCCGGTCGCCAGGAGAAAATCCGGAATGCTGCCACCGATGCCATTGCTCTCGGGCTAGAAACATCCCCCAGGAAAGAGACACGAGCATCAAGAACGAGTGACGTCACAGCCGGATCGATTCCAGTGCTGAATGTTCGAAAATGTTTTGTTAAGGATCTGTTTACGGTACGGTCTCAGACCACAAAAAAGGAAAAATAGTTTATCAACTAACAAATCTTGGTCTGTCACTTAATTTTTTCTTCTAGCTTCACAAAAGACACTGAACGAATGATTCGAATAGTATATAGAAATCAAGGCTATGTAATACACATACTTTTATTGTCTTTCGAGATATTTTAGATTAATAATGAACAATGAAAACGATGATTTCTTATAGGTTTATTTCATTTAAGGATTTGCACATTTTTTAACTTAATTTTTAAAAAAAAAATTATTTTTTGTCATCGAGCGTTATCGGTCTTTAAAATTATAGTGTAAGATTACGGGATGGATAAAAATAATAAAACATTTTTCTGTCATATGATTTAGATCTACAATAAAAAATTCCGAATCGAATTACGGTATAGAGTACCGGTACTTTGAGTGCATCATCCGTAAAATCCATTTTGGGGTAAAATCCATTTTTACCGTAAAATATATTACTGCAATTTTTACATTAATATTTATTTAATCAGTGGTTTTACGATAATTATTACAGTAAAATCTGTTTTAGGATAATTATTACAGTAAAAACTAAGATATATTTTTTGTTCCGGAGATATTTCGTTTTGTAACATGTTGAGGTTAAAATGAATTTTACGGTAAAAAGTACAGACATTATGAAAGCCGGTACTTTTTACTGTAATTCGATCCGAAATTTTTTACAGATTAGTCAAAATCAGAATTATTCACTTAGGATGATTTCCGCATTAAATGCAGACCTAATTTTAGTCTTTCACCGATAGAAATACGAAAGATATCAAAACAAGAAAAAAAGAACATTTTGAACGATATCAAAATATCACAAAAGATTTAAAACTCACCTGGAAAATTAGATAATGGAATAATGTAAGGCCCTTGATAAGCTCTTGGCGGTTTTTTTTAAAGAAAAAAAAATATTGCTTTGCGAAATAAGTTTTCAAAATATTTTAAATCACCTGATTATCTTCAGTTTGAATTATGGAGTAACTTCACGATTTTGTTGAGAAAAAATGAATTTATTCCTCTACATCATCAGAAAATTAATTTAAAAAATATTCAAAGTCATGTGAGGTGATTATAAACAACATGTCATGACAAAATAACTCAAACTTATGTCATGAGAAAAGAATAATTTTAAAGCTCTAGCACGTCGCTTGCAATTTTATTTAAAAGAAATTAATTAATTTCAGTGAATCATCCGAAAAAAATTAAAATATTTAAAATCATGTGATGATAATCAGTTTGAATTATCATCATTGAATACAAACATTTGCAATTCTATTTCGAAAAAATTAATTAATTTCACTGAATCATTAGAAAATTTAAAATATTCAAAATCACGTGATTATAATCA